TGTAAAGGTTTCATTTATCGGTTATTTCCGCTATTAATTTTTCAGCATCCAGTGGAGACATATGGATATGCTGCAATATTCTCTCTCACCGGTTATTTAGGATTGATTGTTGTACTCACACTCGTTAAAAGATTTGGTGCATTGATGTCTGTGACAGGTACATACAGTTTAAAGTTTTTAGTGCACAATATAAAAGTGTATTGCAAAGCAGCATTTCAAAAACATTTGCTTAAGCATATTTCTTTGGTAATTTTTTTTTGTATCTTCTGCTTGATAAAAAATTTATTAGGGATTTTTGTTCTTGGGGTCTATAAATGTAAGTAGGTCTTGGCAAATTGGATCTATATTTAGCATCAGTACAGGATAATTTGTGAAATTCATGATAATAAAAGCTTCATTTTGCAATTGTGTGTTGAATTTTACTGATAATCACATAAAAACATGTCACTTAATAAATAGATAAATAATTAAATATTCATTTAAAATTTAATTTTGTGTCACACATTTAATTTATTTTATCTTCAAAAGGATTTACATTAAAGTTTGTATATGCTAAATTTAGTATATTTTACAGATAAATCATATGAATGAGTAAAAAAAAAAAACTGCAAATGAAAAGAATTTTCTCAATCAAATAATTTATCTAGTCTCATTAATGTTGAGAATTACTTCAACCACCTCCAGGACTTAAGTACTAATTGTGTGGAAGAATGGGAACCAGTCTAGAAATTGGTGAAGATAAAATAGAGTAAATATGGATTTGGATAGCCAGAATAGGTTGATTATGAAAGATATATTTTTGTAAAATTATTATTTTGAGAGCTTTTATATCACTTGTAACTGAGAAAATGGGGACATTGTTTTATTGATGAAATTTCAGTCATTTAACAGGTTTAAGTTTTGAACACTTATTACTGAAATTAGCATCTGACTTTTGTGTGGAATTGAAAGCACATATTTCAAACACAGATATTTCCAGAAAATGCTGCACACATATAGTTTTCTCTGCATATAAATTATCATTCAGAATGCATCTATACTGATAGATATAGGTTTGATCATGAGCCCTCAAGTTATTGAATTTTTAATATTGTGGTGTTTGGATAGATATACTGTGGGAACTGATTAGTACAGTGAGTACTCCATAACCCAAGCCCTCCTATGGGAAGTAACTCCTTCAGCTTACCTCCTCTTATCACATTGGATGGCACTGTATATACCAGATGTTGTCAGTTATAACTTTCGCTGCAGACTGTCAACAGGCCTCAGAAAATCCATAGATTTCTATTTTTTTAATCTTTTAGCCATCTAACAGCCTCGTTTAGTATTACAGTAAGTCAAACAGTCAGATTATGAAGCAAATACTAAATTTTTGTGTTTTTGTCTGAAATTTAAGATATTTTGTTCAAATTTGTTACCATTTAATATCATACAACTGTTATACAAGACATGCTTCCTGATAAATTTGGCTTCAGCATCAAGAGTTAGCTCCATGCTTTCTGCAGATCCAGATTACCTACAGATTCAGTCATTTTAATGACACAAACAGGTTTCATTTTCTGCCAGGCAGCAAATAACTGTATGGACCTTTTTGTTGGTTGATATTTCAAGAGAGGCAATGTGTTCAGGACCCATTATATGCTTTCCACATTTATCTGAAGTACACGTCCAGATACCAGAGGCTTTTCTTCCCACTAAGACCAGGAAAACAGGACATAACCCGACAAGCGCTATCATTATGGCTAAAGGAAGTCATCCAGTCACTATGGTCTGATCTCTCACAGGAACATGTCTGATGAGGGTTTCGGGTTACAGGATATGAGCTATTTATATGAGCCTTGCATTTAAGTGAGATATAGCCATTAAAAATATAATGGAATCAGATGGTTAAAGGAGTTAAATTTCGGCTAATGTAGATATGTGAGAAAGCTTGCCAGTAGCTTCTCGTGGGTCGGTGGTTCTTTCCGGTGATTTCCCGGTTTCTTCCTCCACCATTAATACTGGCCGCCATGAATAGCCTATCATGTGCTGAAAAATGGCGTTAAGCCCAACAACAAAACAAAACAAAACAAAGGAGTTAAATCTAGTAGATCCTTTGATTGCTGCCCAGAGAGTCATTAGACCACACTTGAACCTTTCAACTTTCACAGGATTTGCCTGAGAAAAATCTTCATTTGCAATTATTTATCAAGCGCCAGAGTCCACGGGATAGTACCTTGTACATGTGTATACACTTATATTCGGTTGAGTCAGCTATCATTAGGAGAGTTTTACTATTGAAAGTAGAGTTTTTTTTAGTCTACATGGTGCTTTTAGGTAGAGATTAGATGCTCTGCATTTCCTCCTTCTAATGTTTATGTGATGAGTAATCTATTTGACTGAAAGGTAATTTCATTGTAAATTATGTTTCTTTGAAAATACTTACTCAGTCTAACTATTATAAATCCCTCCCAACCCTGTTTGCAGTGTGAAGCATCGTGTCTCAGATATGCTCAATTTAAAACTGACAATATTCAGTATACGGCCATAGAACACAATTAAGTTTACTATATATTCTCTACATTTGTTTCTCAATACAGAACTTGCCACTGTGTGACAATCAATACAAATCATATGTTAATTTAAAAAACCTTCAAAGATGACTTTATGGTGATGTTCTTGTCAAGCGTTGACCTGCATTTTTTTTTAGAGACTGAATTGTAAACAAAACACCATGCAATGGAACACAGATTTCACTTCCGAATCATCACCATCCGCTTTTTACTAACTGTGCACTGTCGCCAAAATACACACAGACAACCACATCATAAGCTCACATTCTAAAAAATAAACAATTGCCTTTAAATCCTTACCAAGAATGCCAAAATCTAACTCTTGCATCACCACCAAAGGGAGACAGGAAGAAATTATCTAAAAATAGATTTAGACTACATTTGGGGGTACTGAACCTTTGACCTGATTTCCCATATACAGCATGGCCTAGTTATAAGGGATGTAATTTTTTAAGAGTTACTTCCCATTACATAGACTTTTATAAAATCTACAGGAGGGCTGGATTCTGGAAGTAGCAGAAGTAATTCCTTATGATAGTGTGATTGGATAAGTATTTTTACGAAACCTATATGCTACAAAATCCTTTCTTGGATAAATATAATTTACTAAAAAAAATGACTTCATAATATTTTTTGTTCATTATTATTTCAGTCACAACATGTAGAAAAGCTGTTACCATTCTTCTCTCATTCCTGTTTTTCACAAAACCATTTACTTTTCAGTAAGTACATCAACATATTTTTTCAAAAGATTCTTTGGAGAAATTGTTATTTTCCTCCGTTAAATCCTTACAGTTGTTTGAGTCCATTTATGTATCTGTGTTCCTTATGCCCGAAATCATTTGACAGAATTATGTAAATGTCAATAGTATACTTGCCTATTTAGTGAGAAATGGATATTTTGGGGTTTTCCCCAAAAGCATAAAAATAAGTCACAAGGTGAAATTAGGAGGATTTTTAAATAAAATATTAAAAAATACAAACACAAAGATAAGACTGTTTGACCAGTTTCCATCAAAGTTGTTACACATGGTTGGGCATGTTGGGTAGAGTTGCCAGTTTATTCTTAGAATTTCTTTTTTTTAATATATTATTTTAATGTTAGCAAGTAATCAATGTGTAGTACAAGTTGTGTGTAGATTGAGTGTATTGGACTGTAGAATTCTGACATAAATATTTTACACATTGTGAGTGCTTCACCATAGGTTACAGTAGGAGTTCTAATAAACATGGGATGGGCGCATATCTCACCTGTAGACGATTCTTAATCATTTTCTGAGATCAGTTGTATTTGTTCTCATTTCAGATTGATGTGTATGTGTGGTTTTAATGTTATTTTTACTGTCATTTGCAGATATGTCTGGTCAGGTCTTATTGTTATCCTTGGAATCTACTTGAATATCTACAGTAAAAACAAGGCATCATGGGATATGAAGATGGCCAGTATATGGGCCAAAGTCAAACAAGATTTTGGCCTTCATTCCAAACCTGTTCACACTAAACCTGGAACAGTTGTATGATGTATATGGACATGGAATGCATTAGAATGGACTAGGACTATGATTAATATATTAGAACTTCTACAGTGCTTATCAAAGTTAGTGTCATGAAATTTCATTGTACATGGACCAGGAACATGTTTCAGATATTGTAACATCTACAGCATTTGGCAAACTCAATGTCACAAAATTTCATCTGTATCTTATTTGTAAAATGGTCTGTCTCAGAAGCAGATTTTGCATACATAAAATCAATCCAACAAAGGACATGGGTCTCCAGAGATGTATAATCCTAACAAGTGATGATGAGGGAATTGCTTATTACTGAAGGATATTTTACATTTAGAGGGATTTTAGATAAATTGTTGCTTTTTTAATTTATAACTATTAAAATATGTTATTTGGGGGAATCTCATTTATAGATTTTTTTATGTATTGGCCAGTTATTGTTGGTCTTTTTGTTACTCTTATGTTCATGTGGTATTTTGTGCTATATTATCTCAGTAAATATTGACAGAATTGTTTTTCTTGTTTGCTCTCCATCTAGCAAGCTCATTCATTCAGTGATCTCTAAGGTAGACACATTGAAGTAAAGCTTATTTTAATATGTTAGATGAGATAATCTTGAATAGTACATCCTTAATGTACTATCGTATAAGTATGGGCTTTTCACTGACCTTTTATGATGTCCTAAATGAAAATGGTGTGGTGTGGTGTATATAATGTTTAACGTAGCTATTAGCAATTTCTCAGTCATATTGCTACGATGTCTGCAGTGTGGCAGTTTATAGTGATGTCTAGCACTGGGGCATCATGCAACAGACATGCAGCATGATGTCCCACCCAGTCACATTATCCTGAACCCAGGCCGACCAGTCCTAACACTAACCTCTTAATGCTGAGCATCAAGCGAGGCAGCTGTTAGTACCATTTTTGTAAGTCTTTGGTCTGACTCGACCGGGGATCGAACCCATGACCTCTCACATCTGAGGTGGACACTCTGACCACTAAGCCACCGGAGGGGTTAAATGAAAATGATGTAAATCGAACATTCAGTATGGCTACCACATTGACCATCTGAATGATCTTTTTATTGCTACTCTTCATCCATGGATGGTGATAACAATTTAAACATGGGGTTTTCAAAAACTGACTTATTATAAATTGGTCCTAAATGAAAATGGTGCTGATCATCTTTCCATCTCTTCACATATTTGCTATTTCTCCTTTAAGTACTTGGAGGATTGTCTTCAAACTTTGCACACACATTCATCCCATGATCTAGCTAGTCGTAAATGAAAATCGTCCTGCTCATTTATTTTGTCAGTGGTCATCTTAAAAATATCGTTATGGTTACTCATCCCAGATGGATGGTAACGTTAACATGGGGTTTTCACAAAAAGATTTCTTTTAATGTCTACTTGGTACTGTATCAAAATAGTGCCAACCTGACATTCAGTATACCACCTTGAAAATCCCTTTACTACACCTACATGGATTGTCATATCAGCTTGGGTTTTTCATTCAAAGACTTTTTACGAGCTGGACCTCCCTGAAGACAGTGCAGATTGTCCACCCATCCATTAGCACATATTTGTTATTGCTGCTTCTCCTGTGGATTTCACTGAAAAACTTTTTATGATATCTGGTTGGTCCTAAATGAAAATGGTACCAGTCTGACATCCAAGATATCCACTGCAATAGCCATTTTTAAAATCTTATTATTACTACTCCAATGTTGATGGTAACATAAACATGGACTTCTCACTAAAATACTTATTATGGTCCTACTCCACCTGAAAAGAAAGTCCAGATTTGGGGTTATGGCCAACAGACTTCTTTTGATGTCCACTTGGTCTTAAAAAATGATGGTGCAACTCTAACATCCAATATGACTACCACAACAGCCTTCTTCAAATTCTTGTTATTACAACTTGTCCAGAATTGAAAGTCATATTTACAGGGTTTGCAAACAAGAGACTTCTTATGATGTACTTATTGAAATTTGTACCATTTTGATAACCAATATTGCTGCCACAGCAGCCATCTTTAAAATCTTGTCACTTCTGCTGAAATGTTTTCCTTCACATGTATGATTCATCCTTTCTGTGCATGAATAATTTTTAGCCATTGGATTATACATATGAAGGAGAGGGGATGGGTTGATAAATTGATGCTGCAGTGGATTAAAGAGTTTTATCTCACTTACACCACTCCCTCGATAACTTGCACCCAGATAACTCGTGAACCTGCTTATAAGGCAGAGTCAGGCATGAATCCCATTTTTAAAACCAGAAAATACCCAAAATTTTATTTCTGGTTGTTTCATCTTTGAATAGGGTAGATAAGACCTGGAAATTTTAATCAGCATTATGAAATCTCTACTTTAAAAAGAAGTCATAAAATTTGTTACATTTTCTTTCCAAATGACTTTCTTAGTACACCGTAAGTTAACAATACTCGGGGAAATTTTGATCAATAAAAATGTCACTTATACCTAGTGGAGGCAGTACTTTGATAAATAAATACCAAATAAATAATTTTTTGTATCAATTCAAATTTGTGTTCTAATTCTATCTTTTAGTTCACTTTATGTGTAATCATCATAAATGCAATGTGTCCTGTTATAATTAAACGTAAAATGTGTCAATCTACCGTAACAGCTCTGTCTGCAAGCATTTCTCTGAGAACCTATTTAAGTGCTGACCATTTAACATTGGACTTGCCAAAACATTTGTTGTATTGTTGCACTAAATAAACAGCTGACCTCCTTTTCTATTATCATGTTAATTACATCTTTTGACTCAAGGAGGTGGAATAAACAAACAAGTAATTTTTAAATGTTTTATAAGGTGTTCCACAACTTACAGCACAAAGATGTGTTGCAGAACATACAATGCACACAATATTTACTTTTAAAATTAATTTATGGTGTTCCAAGAAAAATGATGCCCCCCCAAAAAAATATGGTATAAGAAATCTTTTTGAGAAAACTTCATGATCATGTAAACATTTAATATGGAGAAATTGTGATAACAAGATTTTCAAGATGGCCATACTGATTGGCTCCAATTTCAATAGGACTAAACAGAAATTATAAAGAGTATCAGGTGAAAACACATTTCAGCAGCAATGACAAGATTTTAGAGATGGCTGCTGGTGGATGTTATTGATTGATACCATATGTACTTGCTGTAGGAATCAATGCCTGTTTGTATCAATTATGATTGATGGCAAACAGATAGAAGCCTGGCTGGTGAATAAACACAACTGGTAGCGAGAAATATACTCACTGTCTGAACTTATGAGCAGGATATCAAATACAAAGGATATAAAGAAAGCTGACCCCAGAAGTCGACTTTGGATTCTTTTAAATGTGCCGATTTTTTGGTGTGAATGAATACGAAAACTGGCTGGCACTGGGAAGCTTTGAATCTATTTTACAATTATTCACTGGAAGTTGGTGGAAGTAATCATTTGAACAAACCACATAGATCCTGACCTGCAGATGCATTATATTGACAGATCAGGATTTTTGTTTTTTGCAGTCTGCCTGAACTTACAAGCAAGTATAGATGGTATGGTACAAGAAACTAATAACAATAGTATTTGTAGAAATTTGTTGATGACTTTATCTCAATACTCAATATATGACTATACAAAGGAACAAGAATATGTAATAAATGTTATTCCAGGATTCTGAGTCATACACAGATGAATACATTTTAGAGAGTAATTGGTCATGAGATCACTTTGTCTATTTTTAGCTCATGTAATAAAAATTAATACTGTGACATATTTATCTGCCATTTGCACTTTAAATAACTTCATATTTTTTAAACAAAATTGTTATGCATTTATCTGCCATTAAAATTCAAGCACTTTTGGGCAAAACCTTGATTTTTATGCCTTTCATGGTCTTGATATTGCCAGGGTCAGATTCAGCACTTTCAGAGGTGTGTGTGTGTGATAATGTAGCTTTAACAATTTTTCAGTCATATCGATACGATGTCTGCAGTATGGCTGTTTATAGTGATTTCTAGCACTTGGGCATCATGTGGCATACATGTAGCATGATGTCCCACCAAGTCACATTATCCTGACACCAGGCCAACCAGTCTTAACACTAACCTCAATGCTGAGCACCTAGCAAGGCAGCTGTTAGTGCCATTTTTATAAATCTTTGGTATAACTTGGCTGGGGTTGAACCTGTGACCTTCTGCATCCTTGGCAGATGCTCCGACTACCAGGCCATGGGAGCAGTCAAGGACCAGTACAGATCTTGATGATTATGTTGACAATTAGATCATTTAAGTATGATATGTTTGAATGACAAAGACATCGTGCATACCAAAAGGTGAAATAAATAGATTTCATAATGCAAATGTAAGATATCACATTTTGCATATTTTACACTTGTTTGGTGGTTCATTTCATCTTTCAGGCATACACACTTGTAACAAAATTTCTTGTGTACGGCAGAAATTCGGCTCATTGCAGTCATATTTGCAGACACTGCATGATGTATTTCCTGTTTCGTATTTTGATATTTGTTAAGTTCTTTAAAGATCACTGATATAGGAGAGCACATATCTTTAGAAACTATATTTTTAATGTACAAATTTCATGTAAATTGAACTCTTTAAAGAGATGAGAGAATAAATTGTCATCTCTGTTGTACTTTTACTATATTTTCTTGATTGCATTAGTAATAGAATGACATACATTGATGATCACTTTCTGGTGGCAATGTTTTAATCAGTATGTTAATTTTTTTTTAATTTTGTATTGTCAAATAATGCATAATATAAATGTGTTCAAAGGCAAGATGTAGTGTTCTGCTATAAACCGGTTCAAAGGCAAAATATAGTGTTCCACTATAAAGCTGTTCAAAGACAATAATGTGTTCTGCTATAAACCTGTTCAAATGCAAAATATAGTGTTCCACTATAAAGCTGTTCAAAGACAAAATGTAGTGTTCTGCTATAAACCTGTTCAAATGCAAAATATAGTGCTCCACTATAAAGCTGTTCAAAGACAAAATGTTGTGTTCTGCTATAACCTGTTCAAAGGCAAAATATAGTGCTCCACTATAAAGCTGTTCAAAGGCAAAATATAGTGTTCCACTATAAAACTATTCAAAGGCAAGATGTGCTCCACTATAAAACTGTTCAAAGGCAAGATGTAGTGCTCCACTATAAAACTGTTCAAAGGCAAGATGTAGTATTCCATTATAAAGCTGTTCAAAAGCAAGATGTAGTGTTCCACTATAAAACTGTTCAAAGGCAAGATGTATTCCATTATAAAGCTGTTCAAAAGCAAGATATAGTGTTCCACTATAAAACTGTTCAAAGGCAAGATGTAGTGTTCCCTTATAAAACTGTTCAAAAATGTAGTATTCCACTATAAAACTGTTAAAAAGGCAAGATGTATTGTTCCATTATACAGCTGTTCAAAGGCAAGATGTAGTGTTCCACTATAAAAATGTTCAAAGGCAAGACCTATCTATTAATGCCAACCAATTCATATATATTCTGTGGCATGAATTGTAAAAATTGAAATTAACAAATAATTTATATTTAGGGATGACCCATAAAGGATGTCTACAAATCATACTGGAATACACGCAATAGGCCCAAAAAAGGTGTTCAACACATAATTTCGTAATGAAAATACTAGCTTGCGGACGTTAGCAGGATTCTTTACACTCCCCTTGTCCTCATTTGTCTGCATTTGATCCACCCTCCCCCTCCCCATCTTTGTGGATGTCCTTTATGGATGATCCCTTTATGAAGTGGATATACATAAATATTATATCATCACATGTGAAATAATTCCTGTATACTCTAAAAAGATTTGTTTTTTAATAATTTTAGGACAAGGATATTTTACAAGTTTGGGTAATATAATGCTTCAGATTGTGTATTTTGTAAAAATAATGACTGTTTTCAAACAAAAATGAAGAGATTTTTTTTGGGTTAACTCATTTCTTATGCAGATTGTTACAGTAAATATTGGGGTGTGGG